CAATCACTCTCTCTTTCCTCTCAAATCTCTCCCTCCTTCCTTTCCTGCCCCCCTCTCTTTATCTATCTCTTTCCTCTCTCTCTTCTCTCTCTCTCTCTTTCCTCTCAATCTTTCCTCCCTCCCCCCCTCCCCCACTCACGTTTTCCTCCTAGGTTCCCTGCTTTCAAAGTTAGAGACACAGAATAAAGGCTTTTGCTCGCATTTGGAGAAGATCAATCAAAATAGACCTGGAAGGGACCATGGAGATCTTCTAGTCCGACCCCCCTGACCCTATACAATTTGAGACAAGTGGTTTTCCAATCTCTTCTTAAAAACCTCCAGCGATGGAGCACCCACAGCCTTTGAAGGCAAGCTATTCCGCGTTAATTGTTCTCACTGTTAGGAAATTTCTCCTTAATTCCAGGTTGTTTCTGTGGAATTAAGGAAAAAGAAAAAGAGCTGGAAACAAACAGGTTTCCCAGTCTTTTTTTTAATTCACGTTTTTTGATAAATAAAGGCTTCCTTGTTAGTTCTGTCCAACTTTAAGGCACGGCGCTCATCTCCGTTTCTTCGCCGAGGCAACCGGCATTGTCCGAAGACAATTTCCGTTGTCACATAGCCAGCATGGATGTATGCCAAAAGCACATGGAATGCTGTAACTCTCTTTACCACCACCCCCTGAAAAAATGGTACCTATTAATCTACTCGCATTTGCACGCTTTGGAACTGCTAGGTGGGCAATTGATCAAACTATAAAATACAGTTTATCAAAATATAAAATACAGAAATGAAAACAATGGGAAAATTGGGGAGGAAAAGGGGAAGAGAAAAAAGTATAGGGTAATAGGAAAGAAGAAAAAGAAAAATACTGGCTTCTGAAATCTTTTGGCACCACCTCAACTTTTTGACTTTTACATAATAATAGGCACTAGCCATTTCTGTAACCGCAAACCTATCTAATCAGCAAAACTCGAAATCAAAACTTTCGTTTTCTTTCCCACCTCATGCACAAAGTCCAGAAATGGTTTCCAAGTTGAAACGAAATAAGTTGTATTATTTTGTTTGTTTGTTAATCCAAGCAATTAATTTAGCCATCTCCGCTAACTCCATCGACATTTCCCAGTCTTGTCGGGTGGATAATTGCTCTGGATTTCATCAGGAGAAATTCTCCAATGATTCTCGAGAGGAAGTTTCTCCTTTTGTGTCGTTACCGAAAAGCACCCTTCGGGGAGCTGTGTCAGCCTTACCAGGTAGACCAAACGTGTCCACAGCAGCTAATTCTACTTTATTGAAGATTGCATCGACAGAATCTTGCAAGTCTGAAAATAGACTTCTCCTCTTCTCTCCTTTTTTCCCCCTCCTTTTCACGACCCTGTAATCCCTTAATCTGGGGTAGAGTCGGGGTGACTGAATGGAGCTGAGCGTTTACTGGCCAGATTCCCTTCCTGATGCCTACGTGGAGCTCACAGCAGATATTTTCTGTTTGCACCCAGGAAAAAAGAACTACCATTACCTAGGATCGAACTCACAGCCTTCTGATTGTGAGTTCCACCTTTAGGCCACCATGCCGCTCTTCCACTCATCTCCTTACCTTAGAGAAATTAGGTAATGGTAAAGGTTCCCCTCGTACATACGCGCTAGTTGTTTCTGGCTCTAGGGAGCGGTGCTCATCTCCGTTACAAAGCCAAAAAGCCAGTGCTGTCTGAAGATGTCTCTGTGGTCATGTGGCCGGCATGGCTAAACGCCGGAACGCTCTTCCCTTCCCACCAAGTGGTCCCTGTTTGTCTACTTGCATTTTAACGTGCTTTCGAACTGCTAGGTTGGCAGGCGCTGGGACAAGGAACGGGAGCTCACTCTGTGGCACGGCGCTAGGGATTCGAACCGCCGAACTGCCAACCTTTCTGATCGACAAGCTCAGCATCCTAGCCACTGAGCCACCACATCGAAAAATTAGGGAAGGTCTTTTCTGGGCCTCTTGCTCCATCCATTATCCAGCTGTGGACTCTCTCTTACCCATCCTTCCCCTCTCTGGGCCCAGTCACCCAAGGTCATTCCTGCATGCCATTCTATGCTCTTACTTGATGTTGCACTGGGATGTGAGAATGCCCTTGGGAGAGCGGAGAGAAAGCCACATCTAGGGGCTGACTCTGCAGAAGGAAGGTGCGCTACTCATTAGAAGAGAATATTTATAGCTCAGGGTTGAACCGTGGAGTCCTCGGTGTGTGCCTCAAAGTTTGGTTGTTTTCTTGCAGGTGTTTCATTACCTGTCTAGGTAACATCATAAGTGCTGGAAGGGAAAGGGGAAAGAGGAGGAGGAGGAGGTGATGATGATTAAGGGAGCTGGACTAGACGACCACAAGGTCCCTTCCAATTCTGTTATTTCGTTAAACCCAAATAAAGGAAACCTACTTTCTATGTTTGCCTGGCATACCGAAGCCCCAGCAAACCATCTCATGGCACCATGCTAGGATATGATTTACCCAGCGGGCGAGTTCGTAAAACACACGAAACGCAACTCGGTCTTAGCTCCCGCCGATGTATTGTATGAAGCGATGCTTAATATCTCTACAGAACTTTCCTCTGTTTTCCCCATCCAATTCCGTTCGTGTGAGCTGAGCCCCCTGAGAATCTAATGAGTGAAAAATTGCAGAAGCAAAGAAGACAGAAAATGTACGGGACCGCTCTGTGTTTTTATTTTTTATATATTACACATTTTATCTGCTTCATCTACTTTATTCTAAGCTGCCTAGAGTCACGTACGGGAGGTGGGTGGCTATATAAATCCAATAAATAATGAAAATAAAATAATGAGCTGGTCGAGGCGAGTTGCGAAACGTGAGCAAAGCCGAGATGCGAAGCCACATTTTTAAAAATATATTTCTTGTGCCTTCAAAGACGCCAAGTCCTTCGGTGCAATGCACAATCAAACCTGGGTGTGATCAAAGCCTCCTTGTTGCAATTTCATACACAAAACACAATTAAAACATAAAAAAGGATAGGCATGCCTACAAAATACACCCACAGCTATAAAATGCATATCAATGTTGGAATCCAGCTTGGTGAATACAAGTAGTCTTTTGCTCACAACAGTCTGTTTGGGGACCATTTGAAGTTTACAACAGCCCTGAAAAAAGTGACTTACGACCGTTTTTCACACTTAATGGCCGCTGCAACCTCCCTGCATCACGTGATTGAAATTCAGACGTTCGGCAATGGACTCGTATTGATGACAGCTACGGTGTTCTAAGGTCATGGGATCTCCTTTGACGAGCAGGAAGCTAGATTCCCTTAACAACCACGTTGCTCACTTAGTGGCCACAGTGATTCACTTAACATCTGTGGCGAGAAAGGTCATAAAATGGGGCAACGCTCCCTTCACGGCGCTCTTGCTTAGCAATATCCCAAGTGCCGTCTTACCACGGCATCATAAAGTGGTGTTGATTCTATCCATCTACGTCATCTTGATTCGATCCCTCTCTTAATGCTGGGCTCAGTTGATGGTCGTAAGTCAAGGATGTGCCGTATTCCTAAATTCAATCTTTATTGATTAGCCCTTGGGCCCTATCAAAATGCCGAATTCTGGAAATGAATTATTACTAACATTTGATAAAATACAATTTTCAATGGAATTGGAATACAGTGGAATTGGAATATAATTTTCAATTGAATTGGAATAAAATACCATTTTCAATGGAATTTGAATATAATTTTCAATGGAATTGGAATAAAATACCATTTTCAATGGAATTGGAATAAAATACCATTTTCAATGGAATTGGAATACAATTTTCAATGGAATTGGAATAAAATACCATTTTCAATGGAATTGGAATAAAATACAATTTTCAATGGAATTGGAATACAATTTTCAATGGAATTGGAATAAAATACCATTTTCAATGACATTGGAATAAAATATAATTTTCAATGACGTTGGAATGAAATATGGATTAAAATGAAATTGGAATTTAAAAAAAAAAATACAATTTTCAATGAAATTGGAATAAAATACAATAATTTTAAGAGTACCCCTAAGTGAAATTAGCAGAACTCTGCTGGTGTTTTCTCTGACCTCCGAATCCAGCCAGTGCTGGCTGGTGCATTGGGGGAACTATATCCACCCAACCTCTGCCTTGCGTTTATTTTGCTTAGTGGTACATTATTGGATTCTTGAAGCCTTCACTTCTGCGACCGTACAGATGTGTCAGCTTTTTCACCCCCTTTCTTCTATCCTTACCCTTCTCTTGCTCTTTCTGGCTCCAGTAATTGCTAAGAAAAAAAAAAAAAGAAACTAAGCAAGGTTTAGAGAAAAGTGCAACAGAAAAAAAAAAAGCTACTAGGAAAGCAATCAAGACTTTCTCTCCCCCACCCTCCAATCCTACCCCACCTCCTGGGATCTGTGCAAAACTCCTTTTGTTGACCTAAGCTAAAAGTTTTGCAGAAGGGTTGTGGGGTGGCCGCGTGAGTTGGTCAGATTCAGCAGAGATCCATAACCAGGGATTTCCCCCGGCCTTTGAAGATGTGAGGTGGATCAGCCTCAAAGAAGAGGGGGTCGAGTAGAGTGGGGTGGGGTGGGATGGGATGGGATAGAATGGAATGGAATGGAATGGAATGGAATAGAACGGAATAGAATAAGAGCAGAATAGAGTAGAGTAGAGTAGAGTAGAGTAGAGTAGAGTAGAGTAGAGTAGAATAAGAGCAGAATAGAATAGAATAAGAGCAGAATAGAATAGAATAGAATAGAATAGAATAGAATAGAATAGAATAGAATAGAATAGAATAGAATAGAATAGAATAGAATTCTTTATTGGCCAAGTGTGATTGGACACACAAGGAATTTGTCTTGGTGCAAATGCTCTCAGTGTATATAAAGGAAAAGCTACATTTGTCAAGAGTCAAGAATCATCAGGTACAACACTTAATAAGAGTCATAGGGTACAATAAGCAATCAAATCATACCAGAAAACAGTTATTATTATCCAAAGCACCAGAAGTCAGGACAAGTTCCATGTTCCAGTTCAAGTGCCATGAAAATCGGTTTGGTGACATTGGCCCAATCACCAGGAGATGGTGAGTTCTAGTCCTGCCTTAGCCATGAAAGCTGGCTGGGTGACTTTGGCCCAATCACCAGGAGATGGTGACTTCTACTCCCACTGTTGGCACGAAAGCCAGTTGAGTGACTTTGGCCCGAATCACCAGGAGATGGTGAGTTCTAGTCCCGCATTAAGCATGAAAGCCAGCTGGATGACTTTGTGCCAATCACCAAGAGACTGGAAGTTCTAGTCCTGCCTTAAGTATGAAAATCATCTGGGTGACTTTGGGCCATTCACCAGGAGATGGTGAGTTCTAGTCCCACCGTAGCCATGAAAACCAACTGGGTGATCTCTCAGACCACCTCACCTCACATAGGAGGAAAATAGAAGAAGGAAATTGTGTTGGATAGATAGGTAGTTTGTAAAAACAATTCGTGCCAATACATAAGAGAAAGCTAGAGATTATTCTTTCTATACTAAGTAAAAGATGCAACGAAAGCCAGCCATATTTTTGGAGGGTTGCAGTACCACCATCCTGGCTTCCTGTCAAGGAATTAATTGAAAAAAATAAAATCATTGGTGTTTGGACTCCCAAAATGCAGAACTCTTTGGTCGGGAATGGAAAAAGGGAAAGGATTTGGAGAAGGATGGGTGGTGTTGCCTCTTGTCAGGTTAATTTCCCTTATATTGATGTTTTTCTGACATTTACTTGCTGTTTATCTTGGGAAGCAGCTGTAATGCTGGGAGAAAATGCAGCAGCTTGTTCTGTCTGTTTATTTTTACATCCTTTTTCCCCGAGTCCTGAAAGAAAGAAAAAAAAAAGTACATTTATTTGTTTGTCGGGAGACGGGTGTTTTGATGGGGAAGATTGGGATTTGAACAGCTGTTCTCCACATGGAAAGAGAGAGGTGGGGGAGAGAGAGATTTGCCTTCTGAAACGAGGGAAAAGGCAGAAAAAGAAGATTATAATCAGGGGAAGAGGACAAGTTCAACAGTCTCCCACAATTCGCTTGTGACTTAAAATAAAATAAAATTGGGCAGTTACAGAGGGCTATACAGATCATCCTTGACTTACGACCACAGTTGAGTCCAAAAGTTCTGTGGCTAAGTGAGACAGTCGTTAAGTGAGTTTTGCCCCCATTTTATGATCTTCCTTGTCACCGATTTTAAGTGAATTGTGGCAGGGAAGAGAGGGTAGGATAGGATAGGAGGAGAAGGAAAAGAGAAGAGAAAGAGAAAGGAAGAATAGAATAGAATAGAATAGAATAGAATAGAATAGAATAGAATAGAATGAGGAGGAG